ATTTATTTATCAATATTTTCACGAGTGCACAATGGGTAGGTTCATTATAAAACACGACAACTCTGACGAAGCGCGTGTCAATAATAATATTATTACCGTCGGCAATTAAAATATTATATTTTGTTTTTCAAATATTATTTTTATTTTTTGTTTTCACAAAATAATAATAAGGCACCAATTTAGTTTTGCATTATTATTACGTAACTTTATAATATATCAATATAGGACCTCGAGACATTGAGGTCCGTGAAGTTGGCCACACAATGTCTAAATTTTGGCTCCAAGTGTTGTCAATAATTAGTAAGTCATTTGCAAACACAATTTGGTAATTTGCAGCCGTTTACAATTATCCTCAAAAGTTAAACGGCTAACTTCCGTGAAACTTGGCTGTTTTGGCATTTCAAAGCTTTTGACTGCTCCAAATCGTCTTGCGCAATTCGTAAGTATTTGTAAGCCCGCGAACTTTGACTGTTCCATATTGTCCTTCGCGATTTTCGTGATTTTCGCGAATTCGCGCATACAAATACTTACACAGGACGATTTGGAATAGTCAAAGTTCAAAAAGCTCGACAAAAGACGGCCAAATTAACTTCTTTTGGGGGGAATAATAAGTAAGGGATGACTTACAAATTCTAAATTCGGGCTTTTACTTACGAATTGCGCATGACGATTTGGAGCAGTCAAAAGCTTTGAAATGCCAAAACAACCAAGTTTCGAGGAAGTTAGCCGTGATTTAAACTTTTGAGGATAATTGTAAACGGCTGTAGGTACTTGCAAATTACCAAATTGTGCCTACAAATGACTGAAAAAATTATTGACAACATTTGAAGCCAAAATGTTGACATTGTGTGGCCAATTTCACGGACCCGAGACATTGTCAAGAAATTTCGTATTTTACATTTTACATTTATACATATTTTACTCTGCACACCCTTCATCTACCCCTCTTGAATTTCTGAGTGGTCATATATTATACATTTATACATATAATCATACCACTATTACCAGTATTAGATATTTATTTGCAGGTAAATGTTGTATATTACCTATTATGGCACTTAATGTTCTATAAATATTTTGGCATTTGAACTAATAGAACGTCATAATATGCGTTTACTGCAGTACACCGGTGCAAGAATCCGTCGTCTCATTATTATGTTTAAAATAACATAGGTACAATTATACGACTTGCGCAGTTAAGCTAGCAACGTCAGATAAATATTTATATTATACTGCCTACCTATATATTGACGGGGACACGATGATTGTTTCAAGGTTGATCGTGGTCCGGCCGAAGTGTTTGGTTAGGATTGAGGTGATGAAAAAACACTTTAAGGATGTCACAAATTATGTATTATAATATTGCGATTATATTGCCGCTCGGGCAGATGAGTTTAAAACGTCGGACGATATGTTATCGGTCCGATGGTGGATCTCGAATCGCCTTTTCCGCCGACCGTTGTACGCGACACAGTCCCCTCGTCCCACCTCACGGTTACCGACTCGGTGGGAGAGTCAACCCGGTCGGGCTGCTCGCATCCCGTGGTTGTGGTTGGAGATGAGATAGACTGGTCGCTATAGTGCTTGTACATTGTACTTGCTACTAACGCGGGCCAAGTCAATATATGCGTTTTAACTTATTGTAAATTATACACCCAATCTTTCTACCCCGAACAGTGTAACTTATGCAGCACGAAATTTATGAACACAGTAGAAAATATAATTCACTATAGATTATATAGTTAATTTTCACTCGATTGAATTTGACGGAAATTTCAGAGATTTTGTTTAGAGATGTGAAGCGCTAAATATTTATTTTATTTTTTTCATATACTTGTTTGAACGAGTCTCTGCTCTCACGTCAGGTCGATATTAGTGTCCATTTTTCATAAGTTTGTTAATGACGTGGTTACGAGTACAAACGAAGATGATTTCAAAGCTGTTTCGTAATCGTTTGGCGTATTGTTTACGAGCAATTTTTTCGTCGATGTTGTGAACCCAAGTGTATTTTGGATTAAATTAGGAAATCGTCAATTGGAAATCGTCAATAGTGTCGTTCATGTATTCAGAGGATCGCGTTGTGTTTTATCGAGATAAATACTCGGAGGACATAAAATACGAGTATAATATCATAGTATCAACTCTTAGTCGCATAATATTCGCGTATAGAGGAATATACCTAAAGTTCCGTTGTGTGGTAACCGGTAGCAGACCCCAAGGGGGTGTAGGTAATATTATAATAATATGTATACATATTATATGGGCCCACGTGACTTCTGACGACGGCATGTGCGTGTAACAAAACAATAATAATAATAATAATAATAATAATAATATGTTTACTACGAAATGTATTCTGTGAGCTGACATAATGTAGTAGTCGTCTATCATATTGTACTATTATATTATTATTATAGCAAACGTCAATAATTGTTGTTTTACCAGGTCGTTTTTTTTTTTTTTTTAAGTTGTTTTTTTCGCACACACGCCTATTTGACTTCGACTGTGCGGATACCTATTATAACAATGATATTATACACCGTCATTATTACCACAATAATTCGACGTGTCAATAATATAATATTATTAACATACGGTCCGCGTCATTATCGACATGTGTTCGCCACTCCTGTAAACAGACGGTTACGAGAACAGTTTAGGTGCCTACCAAACATAACCGGCGACGACCTGCGTAGGTATATTAAAATAAGTGCTCGTCGATCGAAATACCGATAAACGTAGGCACCCACCTGTGGAATATGATTGTTACACATTACGAGTTTTCATAATATTTAAAACGGTCGTAATGGTTTATAATGAATTGTACTATTGTACGTATACCTATTATATACATATAATAATATATTAATATTATATTTTACATGACAATACGATACATACATATTGTCATAATATTGGTATCTATATTGTGGCGCGTAATATTTCGCACCTCCTCAATACACTGACACGACTCGAAATTTATAGTTTAGATGAAAAGCGATCAGAAGTTTAAATCTAAGATAACTCGAATAGTTCTATGCCCATGCGTTTGGAACTATAAGAAATTAAATACTTGCAAACGTAATATTATGCTTGACAATTGAATGACTTTTTCGAATATTATGAAACTCTGTCATAAACCCAAAAAGTTAAGGCCTTTGACAGTTTTTTTTAAGTAAACTCTACAGTGCTATATTTTGAGACGTTGCAGTAAAACATTTCTATTTATATATACAATAGACGGACGGTCGTATTTCGTATTCTAGCCTCAATAATATTATTATGATATCGTCACAAATTATAAAATGCAACACCGCCACAACTCTATAAATATTGCTGTTTCGTGCACTAAACATTAAAACACGATGATTAGTTTTTATTAAGCGCAAGAAGGCCACATCGTCATCTCAGAATGTACGTAATTTTTGTAATTGTTCAGGGGAAAGTTTTTAAGTTAGCTCTTACCTATATCATTCACGTATGAATTAGAACTTTTCATTGTCTGTATCTCATTGAATAATCAACGGATTGAAACGATTTCAGGATTGAATTATACAACAAAAAATATTAAATAATAATATGCAAAAAACCATTTTTCAAAAAAATTGATTTAGAACCTTTTCATTTTGAAACTACGACAGATCAAAAAAAGGCAGTCTTGAATTGAATAAATTAAAATGAGTAAGGATGCTGCTCTCTTGCTCGGAAAATCAGCTATACAAATTGAATAATTCAATACTGACACTCTATTCTACAGTGGCTATAAATGAAAAATGATATTAAACCTTACGGATTTCCACTATACCTATAGAGGTTTTTTATTTTTACTAGTATCCATAACTAAAAATTGAAAAATTTCCTTTCTAGCTGTTTTCTAGCAGTTCTAGAGATACGATTCGTATTTCGTATACTCAAGTGGTTTAGAAACTTAGGCAAAATAAGACCTCTCCAGTTTCATACCATAGGCACGTCCATCTGAACGATATTTTATGGCCAACAACATTGACCTTAATATTATTTTTTTACATCGATTTAATGGCGTACGTAAGTATATATATATATACTATAGGTGTTCACTTACACAATATAAGCATTTCGACTTATTCGACGATATTTTTGTGGATGACTTATACAATTATGCCGAAAGAGATAATAATAAAAGTATATATTTAATCGATATAACAGATAAGTGCTTTCTACAAACTTTCTACAGCTTTCTACGAAAAATCAAAATATTTGAGTATCACTAAATCGTCGACCAAGTGCGTCCTCCGGTCTTGAGATCGAAACAATAATCTCAGATCATAATACTGTATACCTCGTATAGTGGTGGTTATTGTGCCTAGTTGAAACTCAAAACCACCACAGTCAGTGTGTAGGATTTAACGGCCGTTTAGTCGGAAAATTCCGATGTAGGCAGTTAATTTTTTACCACAAAAATAAATACATTTTATATTGCAAACTACATCATCATTGACCACTGCCGTTAGGTTAAGTCGATAAAAACAACAATTTTGTAAGTGTGTTACCGATACCATTACATATTTCCCTCTACTTTATTGGAACACTTACATCCGCTTCTGACCACAGGGAAAGGGTTTGTTTATGATAAACGATATATAAAAGCACAATAAATCATTTGTCCCCTTGTCTAAACAAACGAAATACCCAATTTATAATACAATTATGAAGATATCTGCGTGTACAACTATAATATGGACTATAAAGAGAAACTCCGTCGTCCCATGTTTTATTGGCTTATAATTATTCGTATACAGTCGTGTGATATTGTGGGTATTATGTACAGTAATAATAGTTACAAATAACCCATCAATAATGATTCACAATATTATTATTTGGTTTATGAATTAAAAACGTTTGGAAATGTAATTTTTATTTTTAATTTTACTTTTATGCAAAGTCTTGTTTTATTATTATTATTATTATTATCATAATTTTTATTTTATCTATATATTATTTTTGTTGTCACGGACACAACTTTATTGCCGGCCGTTTCTGGAATTCGAACGACTCGTCGGGGCTTTAGGTTTGGAAAATAAGGCACCCGCAGCTTTGTACATAATGCTCTTGCGGAAGTTGAGCACCTTGGACAGATTTTGGATCACCGATTCAAATGTCGAGTCGAAGTTGGGGTTATTCAACAATAAACTTAAGTTGTCTATTATCGTGTCCGTTATCTGTCTGGTGACCGCGATGTTATTGAAACACATGTTGACGCCCTTCATGTTCTCGTGCCAGACGATACGGAAGTTGGGGTCCTTCATGATCTTCCTGGCCCAGTAGAATATGTTGCCCAGGGATTGCGAGACGTTGGGGTCGGTCGTCACGTCCATGACACCGTCCAACAGGGCAACGATGGCGTTGTGGGACTTCGGGTCCAAGCAGATGTCTTTGACGTTCTGTCGCAATTCGTTGAGTAATTCCACGCCTGCCTGGCTGGTGAGCACCGAAGACAAGTTTTCGTGCAACTGATACTTAATGTCACAAGTGTCTTGTCCGATGAACGAGTCTTGTGCCTGAAAATCGACAAACGCAATAATGAACGAAAGGGAAAAATAACGTGTAATCATCGATTCATCGTCACAAAAGACCTAATCAGTCCTCGGCGGTGTTATGCACGATCATCAACAGGTTGAGCGCCATGTGGGCTTTTCCAATTTTTTTTCCAAATTTGGTTATCTATGAATTTTTCTACACTGTCATTAGAACCACAATTGGGTCTCACAAATATTATATTTTTGTCAAATGATAACTACCCAATATTGGTTTTCGTTTTTTATCGGTTTCTTTTCAATCAATTTATTAATTTCAGATTCTACACTATATTTTAATATGGATAGCGAAAACTTAGTTTTATTATTTTTCATAAGACATATTCAAATATAACCGCATATTTTCAAAAATATATTTAAATTTTATATACCGCGGCTATAGAAAACAAAATTTTAAAATCATTGTGACCAGTCATCAACATCTAGTTGAAATCCAAAATTGGTTCTCATGGAACACAACCTGTTTTTGATAGGCCCAGTCTTGTGAAAGATATTTTTTAAAAGTATTCTAGTACAGATACAGATACTTATTTTAAAAAGTATTTAATAAATACGTATTTGAATTTTCAGCAAAAAAAAGTACTCAAGTACAAATACAAATATTTTAAAAATAAATTCATAGATGGGTACATTTAAATACTTTCAAATTTTTTATAAAATATTTATGTTTACCGAACAAACCAACTGAACCGATTTTTATGTTTTATATGTTAGGTACCTCTAATTGTATATAGAATATACTTTGCATCATTTAGTGGAACTTTAAAATAGATATTAAACTGTTTTCGATGTATTTGATTTTTGGTTGAGGTAATAAAATAAATATATAAAAAATATATTTTTACATATTATATTCTCAATTTATATTTTTATCTTAAGTAATCAAAATTAAAATAGAAATTACATAAACTAAAAAAAAATTATTAAACTATTTGCAAAATTACTAATTAATATTTAATTTTTAATTCAGATAATTCGAGGAAATGTTTGGTGATGTAATTTTTTCAAAATCATAAATTATACGTATTTATGTTCTTAAAAAGTATTGAAATACGTACCTACTTTTACTCAAGTACTTTACAACACTGTAATGATAGCATGTATATAATTATCGACGAAACCCATCAATGAGAAGAAATAGTTTAAAAAAATGACGGAACACTTTGGACGTCTACCTAACGTCATAAAATATTGGTTGTTTTGAAAAAATTTAATTGTAACAATAATTTATAATAAAATATTTGATGACGTGATACAAGTGCCAGATATTTTGCAGGTAGTGTTTTTTTTTTTCATTTCTAATATAAATCATTAAAAAAATCTCAATAATAACATAATATAATATACTAAGTCCTACATATGGATTGTTATTCTTTTTACTCGTAAATGTTTACTTATTCTAAATTCAGCAGTATCGCGGCGGCATGACAAAGTAGTCATATTATATAAATTCTAAATTATTCTTTGGTTTACAATTGTTTTATGACAAATACATAGCAGGTGCTGTCATGTACAATACATACGTCACGCGCATTGATCAAAACAAGTATAAATATAAAATAATATTATATAGATGAGATTTGAAAGGTAAATAAAGTCTGAAAAAATGTATTTGTGATTCCAAACCTGTAGATGTTATTATGAAATCAATGACAGATTATCAATGAATTTTTTCATTGTGAACCGATTTTAACCGTTAGACATAATATCATGATAAAATAACATTCTCTACAGTCAAATAACTTTTATAATAAATTTTAACCTATTTTTCTATGGACCAATACATCAATACTCAAGTACGGATTACATATAGATGCCTATATGTCTGAATAAAAATTAAAATATTATTTAAGGCAACCAGATAAACCAGAGTTATAGCATAGTTGAGCAGTGGGATTATATAGTTTTTCCCAATATTGCCGTGAGACCCAAATTTGGTTCTCGGTGAATTTTTTTACGTTGCCGTGAAAACCATATTTGGGTCTCAATAATATTACACTTTTATTAAATGATACCTAACCCAATATTGGTCTTCGTTTTTATCAGTTTCTCATCTTTCAATTTATTATATTCAGATTCTGCACTATATATTGATATGAATAGCTACAACTTAATTTTATTATTATTTTTAACACATATTTAAATATCAATAAAAAAAATATTATTTTAATTTTATATATAATGGCAATAGAAAACAAAATTTTAAAATCATTGTTGGCAGACACAAAAATCTAGTTGAGATCCAGAACGGGTCTTATGGCGCTCAACTTGTTAATCAAAAACAATGTTGGTTATAATATTAATTATACACATAAGCTCGTTTTTTTTTTTTTTAGAAATAAACTAATAATAAGCTTTCGACTCTCCACTCTCATATGCCATAACTCATAATGTTGAGTATTAAATCATCTAATATTTTTCAATGCAATAACTAAAAAAAAGTGTAAAAATATTGTTAAAATTTCTCTGATCAATGACACCTCTGACTCGATAAAGATAAAAAAAAAAAAAAACAGAAAACTAAATATTATAGTTTATTTACAGATTTTTAAATGTAATAAATTATGATTTACCGTTTTTATTTTTTATTATAATAGTAAGTTATAAAAACTGTTCAAATAAATATTTTGTATATTTTTTTTTTAACTTCGTGATAAAGCATATAATGTAGGTATTGGGGGCTTATACACCAATGCCAACAATGTTATAATTAATTATAATATTATGCCATCGTTCCAATCAACTGTGCAAAGGTCTAATTCAATTAAATTATTACTTAAAAAATATTCACTCAACATTTTGATGTAACACAACGGCTACAGTATTACAGGTGCATAGGCTCTTGATATTAAATCGGAAGAGTGATGATTGTTTCAGGTCCGACGATAAATTATATTATTTTCTTTTATCAATAAACAATATATATAATACGAACAAAATATAATGTAACTTGTTATAACATTTATTTAAGTATAATAGTTTGCCAAACAATTAAAACTTAAGAGGCATATTATTTTGAGAGACATTCTAAATAAATATTGAACCGTAATATGAAGTAGGTAGGTTCACGAATATTGATATATGAACAACAATTAGGTACAAGTTTGCTTATAAAACCTCACTAGTTAGCTGCACATTTTTGGTGCCTTGTAGCTATAATTGTATTTCACTCATTATTGTGATACTCGCATAACTCAAGCATTGGGCATATAATCATATGGTTATGTTCCATACTAGGTTAAGTACCATATTTTTAAATTGATAATTGAATAGGGTAAAATGTATAGCTATTGTCTAAGCTCTGGCGGTTATGATTTACTTAAATTTTTGTCAAAAAATGTGCTATAAGCAACTCGGCTCACTCGGCAGTCTGCTGTATATAGGCGTCAAAAGTACCTGGCTATTGTGTAGGTTACTGCTGTAGTAATGGTTGTGTTAAATTTAGACTCATTGTGATAAACTTTGCATACGAAAATCGATTCTGAGCGGAAATGAGCAAATATTATTTATAAGGATATTGCATTAAGTATATTACAAATTAATATTAAAAATGTTTTTTTTTCTGTTAGTATACCTACCTACCAGGTATATGATAGGTTGACCAAATGTTGGCCGAAAGCAAATTGAATGATTCATCACATAAATTATCCCTAACATCTCTTCATACAATACCTATTACTAGCTATTGCGTGCAGTTAAGGCTTAGGGCTTGAAAACGTTATATTTGACAAAAAAACGATCGAAATTTGTAAACGTAATTATAACGGAAAGCGATAGTCAAAAATAATTAAATACCGCAAAACAAAACATAAAGATTAACAAAATATTATATTATATATCATTAAACAAAACATAACTTCTAATTTATAGAATTTCATTGAACGAAAAATAACGCAAAACGAAATAATTTAAAATCCATTTATTTAAAAGTTATATTGGTTTCGTAGAAATATTTATTTCATACATATGGTTATTAGAATTGTCAATTGATTATTTTATATCCCGTATCCGGAATTTTTTTTCAAATGCAAGCCCTGGTTACAAGTCAATAAACTGACGTACAGTATGAACGGTGGTATAAATAGCTTAAAATTAATCTAAATATTTTTTAAATATCAAATTCTAAATAATAATATACGTAGATAATGGTGAAATGTTTCTAGTCAATACGAATAATATTTTCGTAGTTACAACAAAATAACTGACTCATTATTTTTCATTTGAATATGCAATTCTGTTGACATTTTAACTTTATAAGCCTACAAAAATAATTGTCCAATTTGTATTTTTGAAACTTTTTAGGTCTCCGTTAGAACAACGTATGAGAAACCTTATGTTCAGTTGTCAAGCCTCAGGTTTTAAACATTTTATGCATTTTTAACTACAAAACGATTTGCTCATTTTTGCCATTTTGATAAATTTCGAAAAAATTTTAACTTTAAACTGCGCTTATAAAAATAATTCTGACCATTTTTTTGATATAATATTTAATGGCGGCGTGAATAGACCTTATGAAGATCCTTATGTATAACATTTTCAAGCTTTTTATCTAAAAAAACAAAATTTTATCATATACATCAGTGGTTTTTAAACTAGGTGCCGCGAGAATTCACTGATTGTGCCACGCGGTCTTTCGGAAAGTTCAACTATTCGTCGAAGAATAAAATTATAAAAATATAATTAATAAAAATTTGTTAGCCCGTAAAGCACATTTTTCTAATTAAATGTACTTATATAATTATAATGCAAAGCAATTTTGTTCATCTAATTATTTAGTTCAAAAAAAAAGGTCAATGTGCCGTAAACAGACAAGGAGGAGCATGGTGTGCCGCGTTCAATAAACATTTGAAAACCACTGATATACATAATAATTAATAAATGATTTTTTTTTTAAATTTAAATTTTATTAGCAACACGAAGAGCCTAATATATTTTTTTAATTATATCAAACTCTAGAACGTGCTAACATAAATATTTCGTGAGAAGTCCCGACAACTACGGTTTTTAGTTTCTGAATTACCTACAACAAAAAAGCCACACCATAATCGGTTTTAAGAAGTTTTGTGTAAAAATTCCAGTTTTTGCTTAATTTTTTTTTCAAATATTCCTAATTATTTTTTAAAAGTATCGGGAACATACTTTTGAACCCCCAACTGTTCAAACAAGATTCAATTCACCAGTAAAAATCACCTCCAGAGTTGTTTTCAGCAGATCGGTTTAAAAAATATATATATATAATAATATACCTATAGCATTGTAATATTATTATTTATTATATTCGCTTCGCCGCTCCGAATCTAAAAATATTTAACGAGTCTACGTTAGAACGCGTCTGCACTAATGCACTAATGCACTAATGCACTAATGCACTTATGCACTAATTCTTAATGTATATATTATTATTACTTTTCAACTTTACAACTAATTTGACAAATATTATGATCGTTCTTGCCTATATTTATATGAGTTTTACGATTCAACATTTTGTCATTTGAGGACAAACAATGATTTAAATGTATAACCGCGTGACATTTACATGATATTATCGAAATTATTAAAACGTTAATGGTTTGTGTCGGCTGTAAAAAATGCATATTATACCTTCAAGAGCTGTATAGCTACTCTTGTCATACACATAATTATAAAATACTCACAGACGTGCTGGCCGCAAAAAAGGCCAAAACAATTGACACGGCGATTGCGGAATAGCTCTTCATTTTCTCGGAAGTCGAATATACGACGTAAATATATAAATTTTTTTTTGGAAAAAATTCAATGATTTCAGAAAGCGACTAAAATGCCTGGGCGATTTAGTAATTTATACTCGACGCGCGCCCCTGTTGCGACGACAATTGTCAGGAATGATTATTTTTAATGACGGGTTACTACAATGGAAACAATACGTTCATAAAAAAGAAAATTACCTTTTAAAAATGCCGAAAACTAAAAAAAAAACAGGCATAATTATTATAATTGGGTGGCGCGGCAAGTGGCGTTTATATTATTGTCTCTTTTTTTTATGACAAAGTTCGGAAAAACGTCGAGCATAGGTATGTATATACCTATGCTCGTATATGTTATACGAGCATAGGTACCTATACAACATTATTGTGTTGTAATATATTATATTGTCGTGTATTTATTTATTTATTATTTTAGCACATAAGCATAATAATATATTATATACCGTACAACATTATCGGCGAAATTATGAACAAGCCGGTAACCGCTCACCGCTCGCCGGTATACTTGACACCTGTCAAATTTCGTTCGTCACAATAATAATAATAATAATAATGGCAAGTACAGCGATATACACTCGGTCGGTGTGTGTACATAGAGTCAACACACACAGCCCGCGACAACTTCGCGGATGGGCAAATCGAGTTGTGTTTATTTTTGCCAACAGGTTGTACACGACCGACACCATTATGATATTATATTGTGTCAACCGACAGTCGTCCGCGAGATCGTCGAACGGAAACGGAAAAAAAAATCATCTCTCTCAGCTCTATCTCTCTCTCTCTGTCCTTTCTCGTCTCCAGACAGTCGTCGTCCCCGTCGGCGATTGAGACGTTATAATAATAATTATTGTAGTGTGTAAATTACTCGCAGCAGATCGCCGCGACAACGATCCGGTGTCGAGTCTGAGCATATTATAATATAGCCGATCAAATGGAATAATATTTTTTTTTTTTATATAATTCGTTCGGATCCCACACGCGTCGTATTATATGACGACGTCGCGAATCGTACGCGATATTGTATTATTATCGTCATTGTTTTTGTGTCGTTAACAAAAAAAAAAAAATAGCAAACACGCGCCCCTCACATCTGCGAACACAAAAGATCCGCTCCAACAAAACACCGTACACACGTCATATCATCGACGACCAAAGCTCGCGTACCTATATAAAAACGACACACCGAGTTGCCGACAGTACGACGTGTCGATATTGCAGCCCGTCATTTCCTGGTAGTTTTTCCAATTCTACTTCCCGTCTGATCGCGTCTTCGCATCACCGCACGACGACCAATGGCCGTCGACGGGAAAAACGCTTCCGGCCGGCTCGCCGCCGCCGCCGTCCTCTGGCTGTTCGTCGCGATCTTCGCTAACCAGGTCGGTATAATAACCCGGGTCACGTATAGTCGTGGGTTTCATGAGGGCGAGCGGTAACTGTACCATGGTTACGACTGGCGTTGGTTTAAAAGTTGAGCTGTAGTCGATATTCTCGGTATCCTACTCGGTTGCCACTCGGTCATTAGTCCAGGGCTAGGATTTATATACTCCTGGCGGCCACGAGAGAAGGAACCTGTTTCTCGCATGCAGACTGTAGGCATTTCCACACTTTTTGCCATTTAGTGTATGTCAAATACGTGGCGGAATCGAACGTGTTTCGGTCGGAACGCGGGTTCCTTATTCTCTCGTGGCCCCGTGGAGTATGATCACTAGACTGTTTTAAAATATGCATTTTATTTAAGCGAAATCAATTATTTTTTTTTTATATTTCTACGTAATCGTAAGATTAGATATTTAGATGATAAATTTACGACAATTTGACAGATAACTCAATAATTATGTAATAATATTGCCGTCTGATCACGTCATTATCACCGCACGACGACGATGGCGCCGTCGGCTGGAAAAACGCTTCCGGCCGGCTCGTCACCGCGACCGGCCTCTGGCTGCTCGTCGTGATCTTCACTAATCAAGTCACTGATGGTCACATCTCTGAAACCGTGTTGGTTGAGCTGTAGTCGATATTCTTGGTCATTAGTCCAGGGCTAGGATTCATGAGCAATAAACTGTTTTAAAATTATGCATTTTATTTAAGTGAAAACATTTTTTTTTTATATTTATACATAACGTTTAATATATATTTTACATAAAAACCAGAAACTAATTGAAACAGAAACTATAGGTACTAATTAATAATTATTTATCATTAATTATAATATAGTTGTTTACATCGAATATAAATTGCTGTAACTAATGATAATAATATTATGTTTTTTCAAATTTTGAAACACAATTGACAGGAGAGATAGGAACGAATAATCGATTTATATACTGTTTAAAATTGTTCGTACTAATGAAAAACAAAAGTGATGTATAGGTCGTCATAATAGATTAGATATTTAGATGATAAATTTACGGCAGTTTGACAGATAACTCAATAGTTATGTAATAATATTTTCAAAAATCGAATTATACAATTATACTTATATGCATTATATCCAATAACTAATATTCAAAAAAATACAAAAAAAAGTTGTTCCATCTAAACGAGAATAATCCAAATCGTGGTCATAATATCTGACAACCGATCGATTTGGGCTCGAGGAAAAAACACGCAAATAATGCATAGAAATGCTAGCCCTAGTTATTACATGATATCTACCAAACTAGTAACCAATCACAAAGCGATTTGATCGTCACGACAGGACACGACGTAGCTGTGAATGCTCTTTTATACTCATTGCTGCGTGACAATAACAATAAACTCGTTTTATCATTGTTTATTATCATTACTGTTCGTATTATTATAATCATTGTTGTCGTTGTTATTGTTGTTGTATTTCCACCATAGCTCCTTCAGCGGGCACGTCTCATTTATGCACAAGTGCCTCCTAGGAATACACTATGATGGGCCCCATAGATGATAAAATATTTGATATCTATTTGACCTGGTGACGGGGGAATTTTCGAAATCAATGAAAACACAACCCAGCTCTAGATAATAGAATATTATCCGGTAGTTCTCACAAAGAAGACCCCGACCGTGAGTTGATGTATAATAGGCAGGTTTGGTTTAAGGGGCCTCGCTACTGCCGTCAATTTTAGCCTAAAAGACCTAAAGTATTGACAAAGTAAAAAAGTTAATTAACGTTGCCCGATTTTGATTCTGAAAAAAAAAATTGAACTCACCAGAAAATTGTCTTTAGATGATCCTATACGAAACACTTTGTAAAAACTAAATTTCATATTATTGTGAACTGTAATTTAAAACTTGAAAATATCAACTTTTTCGAATCATAATTATTAAAATTAAAATTAATATTAAAAACGGAAAATTTTTTCGTTCACGATCTACAGACATTTTTCTGCTGAATTCAAATATTTTTTCAGAATCAAAATCAGACAACGTCAATATTATTAACGTTAATTTTGTCAAAACAAATGTACTATGTTTTTGTAAAATTCGTGTAGTGAAATTGATATGGTTATCGAGTTATTGACTTGTGCATGCGCGTACGAGAGAGGATGCCCACATTTAATTTCACTCACACTAATAATCATTTTCAACTAACACATAGATCACAGGCGGCTATGACCAGATTAGAAATTGCCTAAATGTTGCCCCTTAAATAATGACCGTAGCGAGGTCCCTTAAAAATTAAAATTAAGTTATAATGTTAATATTGACTAAGTTGAGCAACTCAATAATTTTTTTCGGAACCGACTTAAATTAAAAAGTCACTTTTATAACATAATTTTGAGTTTCGATGTTTCTAGTTTCGATGTTATATATAGGTACGGATGCACTTATTGAAATTACATTAAATTTCTTATACAAGCCTTTCATTTAGAGTTTGAGAAATGTATGAAGTATGTATTTTTTTAATGGTACAGTTGGATACGTGGAAGCTGCTTTCACATTACTTACTTGGGACGAATATTAGATACAAATATATTACAGTAGAAATGTCCAAAATTATGCGAGAAATTCTTATTATAGTAAAATGTATAATCATTACCTACCAGTTTATTTATTTTTATTGTATACAATCAATGATAACCATTACCAAGAAAATCTCCATTGAGTATTTCTGTATAATAAAAACAAGTAAAATACATTTTTTAGCAGTTATATTAGGAATTAATTGACTTAAGTTTTGTATGAGTTTTCAAAGTTAATATTGTTCTTTTTTTTATTTATTAAAAAGATCTGCAAACGTTTATACAATTGTGTCATTCCTCCTAAAATAGTAAATACCCGTATGCATCCTGCAACATACGGACATCATATTATAATTCCGAGCTAGAAAAAATATCCAAACCGACGATATTTTGCTTATTGATTATAAAGATGATATCATTTAGTTAAGTTGAACTTCACCAAGTTATTTATGTATCCATTCAAAGTTATGAGTATTAATTTTAAAACTAATCCGTTCAAGTAAAAATGAATCACGAATCTCGTCATTAATTAATTTATAAAGAAAAGTGCTATTACTGTATATTAGTAACATTTCTGTGTGTTTTCAGAGATTCTAATATTTGAATTTTTAAATATAAGTATATTCTATATTGCATGGGTATTATAGGAGGTATATGATGTATTAGGTGTCAACAGTTATTATTTATTGTATATATTTGGATGGAAGGTACCAAAATGTGTTGCTCGACATTAAGAAGCAGCATATAGCATATTAGATTAACATAATACACCAAATCAAAACCGTTTAAAATATAAAATCTAAAGAATAGCGTATAACAATAAAAATAAAATAATACCTGCCATGAAAACAGACCAAAAAAAATACTACTAATTTCAATTCCGTCCATGTTTATGAAACACGATCTATATTTATATTTACCTACATTATCGAAATTAAATATTTTAATTCGAAATTGTTTTAGTAACATAATTATTAATGTTATATTTTAGGATTACGTATACTGTGACGGAGAACAACAACAACAAGAACTCGATCAACGCTTACAACAACAACAACAACAACAGCAGCAACAACAACAACAACAATTTCAACCACCACGACAACAACAACAACAGCAACCACCACCACCCACACAATTTACACAACAACAACCACCACCACCGCAGCCACTACCACCGCCACAAGTGCCACGACCTCAGAATCCGCCACAAGATCTACAGCAGCAACGACCACCAAATCAACAAGTAGATCTACAGCAGCAACGACCACCAAATCAACAAGTAGAACTACCACAACCACTCGGAATGTTGGGTCCAATAATGAATAAGGGAAATGATATGCAATCAAACATCAATCGATTTAATGGACAACCAGATAATCCTGATTTCGGATCCATACCAATAACGCAACTCCAACAAACACTGAGCAATGTCGGAGCTCCATCGGATATGCTGGGTGGTGGTCGAATACCATCGTTTTCTGGTGGTCCACCACAGGCGCCAAGCTTCGATGAAAATAACTTACCTCAAGGAATAAACCCACCGTTTCCCTTAAACTCGCCATTCGAGTCGAACCCTAACCGTAACCCTAACCCTAACCCGCAACCAGGCCAAAATCAATGGAGGCCACCGCCCCCGCGTGTTAACGAACCGACGAATAACGCACAAAGCCCTATGAATAACCTTCAACAAAAATACCCGGAACAAGCCTTGCAACAGAGGCCAAATATGAATTCGGTTCCTTCACATATACAATATCCTGCACAGAATCATTACCCTGGGTCACCCCATGGACCACAAATGGGTCAACAGATCCAGTCACAGGTCCCGAGACCATATCAGCCTCAATTTTATTACAATGGCAATGGTGACAACATGAACGAAGTTCCGGTGTCAACCAATCCACCTGCAGGTTATCCAGGACAGTCGCTCACAAACATGAACTTTGGTATGTACCAAAATAGTTTTTTCAATAATCCATACTACAGAATTTCAGTGACGAACAATAGGAACAACACTATTATAATATTCTGTACAGTAATTTGTCGACAAAGGTCAATCCTGATTTCTGACTAAAGTAGACCGACATTCCTAGTGTCGTTGTTAGAATTTTTGAGAAAATGAAAATGAAATATTGTAAAGTCAAACATAGGTACAATTTATTTACAAGTGCCTTTAAAAAAAACCTAAATTTTTACTATTAGTTATTACGATATGAATAACCTTGATTCAAAATTAATGAAATTCAGAAGAATAAAAGCAGAAAAAACGATGTAATTATAGGTAGTGTTTGAATTACACCAAAACACTCATAACAGTTTGGGCTATATTATATTATATATTTCCATTTTCCACACATTTGCCACTGAAACAGCAAAGTAGAACTTCCATTGTGTATAAATTATACAGTACCTACCTATAATATGTTTTGTTGAATAAGAGCATTATTATTGCATACGTTTTGTTGTATCAGTAGGTACTATGAACAGTTATTAATTTAAAATGTTAAATATTGAATGATTCTTACATAAAAATAAGGTTTCTATTCAAATGCTCGAGATGTGAAAATATGTTGGGCTAACAATATACCAGGAAAGCGCAACGAATTTCTTTTTTTTAGATACGTATATAACCTTGCTGATGCCCCTCTCCCCTTAACGAAGCCCTAAAGTCAGTCATGATCGACTTTGGCCGTTTCTAGGCAATGCGTACGACCTACAAAATTGTATTTACCTACTTATTGAAATGGATTGCTGCAGAGCACAATGAAATATCACAATTGTGATTATTATATAATTTTAACCTGAATAGCTGTAGTCTAAATCTGTACAACGAAAAAAAATTAAGGTCTAGAAAGATATTATTATCATACCTATATTATTACACATTTGTCGTTTACAGGAGACTTGATGCGGCCCACGCAGATGTTCACTAATATGATGCCGGAAAACCCGTTGGACTTGGTGCAGAAGCCGGTCGGCATGATTATCAACTCGGTCGACAAGCTGGGCAAGTACGGCGAGGGAGTAAAGGAGGGCTTGAGCAACGCGTTGAGGGAGGTGGTCACCAAAATATTTGACCAGGGCCAGTCGGGGGCGCGTAAAATGTTTGACATGGGCTTGCAAGGAACCACCGCCGCCATCGACTTCGGCCGGAGGATTTTGGTTCCGGACTCGAGGAATCCGCAGGTGGGCGATTCCGGTGGCAGGTATAACACGCCGCAGCCGAGCATGCCGCCGGGCTACGGGTACAACAATAATCAGCCACCCCCTACCCACATGGGGTATGGTATGCAGCCCCACGGAGGGTCAGGGCAGTTCGGGGGTGGCAACGTTAACGGCCAAATGCCCCCCGCACAGGGCAACGGTCCACCACAAAATGAGTACCCGCCACAGAGGACGGGGCCGAACTATGGCACAAATGGCAACCCCATCAACGGCCATCAGCCAATCATCCTCTACGGCCAGGGCTAAGGGCCGCTCACGTGGTGCCGAGTGTTTCCCAAGCCTTTTAAAATATTATCCTTTCCGTATACACTTTAGCTGTACTTTATAATATAAGACGTACCTATACTTACATTATTATGTTTTATTACCAGTAGGGCTAGGATTTTGATTTCCTAAACAAAATTCAAAAATATTTACTCGACACTATACCTAATATAATAATCGAAAAGTGATTTTCTTAGAGCTTAGGAAGTGAAAAAAAATATAATACGTTTGATGAGTATTTTTTTTTAAATTACAAGTACGCACCTATTGCATATAGATCTATAGGTTAGCCGGTAACACAAAAAATGAAAAACCATATTATTTTGTATCATTTTTTGAAGAGATGAGACCGGAAGTCAACGAGTGTTTCATATTTTGTAGGTAGGTATCTGTAGATAATATATCTACCTACCGATATTATGGTGTATAATTCAACGATAAATTGTGCACAATTGTTTGTGAAAAATTAATTACAAACATCAGAGATTCCCTTATCCAATCGTTTAATTCCGTAAAATTTGTCAAACAATGCAAAATTACAATTTAATAAAATAACCAGAATCACATAAAATACTTTTAACACTTGTGGAGCTTCGTTTTACAGCACCAGGTACAAAAAAATTACATACTTACCTTTTGTATCAAAATCTCAGCCCTAACTTACTATCAACTTCACCTCGCAGTTGTATAATATTCAATAGAGGCACCTGTTATTTATATTGTAGTTTCAATTATTATTATAACCGTTATTACTATTGTTATTACCTATTATTATTATATTTTAGAATAATATGCACAAGGTGGTAATACGTGCATTGTGTCCGAAATAAAATTAAAACATTGTAGAAATATATAATAAAGTAGGCACATTATGATATACCTTACTGCGACAAACTAATAAATTAGCTTATGGCTCTATGGTATTTTTCTGTTCTAAAACTAATGTTGTTCATTTAAATAGGCAACACTATTTTTACAGTGTTTCTTTCAATCGTTAGTAAAAAGCAATAATTTTTTTCCTTCACTAAATTAGGAAATAAAAGTACTATTCTTATGAATTGGCTGCACGTTCCGCTTGAGTTAATTTTAACCATGAACACAATAACGATGTGTGTACCATGCGCCTGAGTATTATTAGGTACTTTTATTAGTGTTTATAAGATGATTCACAAAATATGTAATTATATATTAGTATAAAGTATAGCTGGTGTGGTGTGTATTAAATATATTTATTCATAGTAAATAATAATTAACGTTTTTAATTTGAAAACATAATAGGACTTTGGGAGCACATTTTAATTAGATTTTAGAATTAAGTATAATAATAATAATTGTTAATATGGCAACCATAAAATACATATACAATTTATATTACAGTTTAGTGTATACTGTACCTACCTGATCAACTTCGTACACCAATTCCTGTGCAACTACAGGTCGTGTTGAGTGCAGTCATGTTGACCGACATGTTTAAGGTCTTAAACAATTCAAATAAACCAAATAAAAATATTCAAAATACTTTAAGTTTGAATTTTTCTGACTGCTTAAAAATTAGCTACCAAGCTTGTGAACTTCAAAAGTTGGTTTATTCTTTTTCTAAACTAACTGCCTAACCCAGATTGATTTAGGTAAATCAAAAAGTGTAGTACATTTATATTTTTTATATAGATATTTTGTGGCAGTTAAGAAATATACTTGTGGAATTTTGAAATATGCTAATGGAAATAAGTCATATAAATGATATACCTACTTTGTTACTTTGAAGTTTTCTTAAAATTTTAGGAGTATAGTAGCTCCTTTTATAAGGAAATGTAAGAAAAAATAAGTACAAAAGAAAATCAACAAATTATGAACCTATAAACATTTCACAGTTCAAATACCTAATGAACTTTGAGTTTATGTAATTTTTCAAAATATATTTTAAAAAAGACCATTTTTACCTGAACATTATAAATATAACATTAAACTTATCACGAGACTCGCACATCTAAATGAGATATACTCTCAATACCTTTGTTTATAAACATGACACAATACATAACAGTATATTATTATATGTGCCTTTATGTTGTTATTAATAAAGGCAATAAAAAAAATAATTAAAACAATTTAATAAACAATAAATAATTGATGGACCAATTTATTATTTGTGAATTTGAGATGTGTATATTTCATATTTGTATACTTTACCTAACAAAATTATGAGCACAATGATAAGCGATTAAAAAGAAATAATATTGTATTGACTTGCTATATCTTGATTTAGATTGTTTGTGTATCAAAAGTTGTATTTGATTCAAAATAATAAAATATTTTGTAGAACATGTGTAAGCACTAAGCATAATATATTATATGGTTCAAAATAAATGTATATTTATTAAAGTAACTTTCTTAGAAAAAGTGTATGAAAAAAAAAATTAATGAAAATATGTCAATGACCAATTAATGTGAATAAAATCGTTAATATTATAATACTTTGTTATTAAATATGATATGATAATATCATTATGAATCTGTGTAACAATCGCTTTGATGCGATAAGAATTGTAATTCCACATTTATTATGTTTAATGACTATTCAATTCATTGTTCACTAATCACTATAAATGGTTAGGCTTAGAATAAAATTGATCCATCATTGAATTATTTTATACTTAATATAAACTTTATGTCACAAGTACATTGATGCTACTCATGTATCTATAATATTATACCCAATTAGTAATTACATATTTTATAATATTGTATTAAATAAATAAAAAATAGGCCACATATAATATTGTGTATGGGTTTAATTGAAAATTGGTAAGTATACTATAAATGACTAGATTTAATACAGAAATACAGTTATTTTGTATATTATATAGCTTTATCAATTTGCTGATAACAAAGTATGTACTAACATAAAAATACAATTTGGTTTTAAATAATTGTGCCCAATCGAATGAAGTAACAAAAACAGAATATCAGTCATTAATCATTACAAACGTTTTAACCAAAAAAATAATATAATAAACTAAATATTATATACTAAACATTTTCATCAAGAAACTTGATTTTTTTTAAAATAATAATTAATTTTAGATTATTCTGTTTGGAGTGATATTTTGGCCATATAATATGAAATTAATTTAATACACACAAATAAAAAATAATTGCTATTTCATAATATTTCATAAAATTAAAAATATATTTTCAAATATTTGTCCCTTAACTATAATATTAGTCCTTAATTTAATATGCTTTTTGATTCAAATACTACAATATATAATTGTTTTCGTACACAATAAAATGAAAATGTTTATAAGTATAAATGCTATAGAAAATAAAATACAAATGGTTTGGTAATAAAATTATTCTCCAAATAGTTTTTTACCCAATTCCATGAATTTATGACCCCGGCATGCTGTTATAGCGTCTTTTTTCTTGAGCGTGGCTATCAAATCACTGTTTGCATCAATAAGGCGACACAGTAAATCTTCATAAGCATATTTTACATTGGTTGGAAGTGAGCCTGGTTTAATTTTCACCAACATGTCTATAATGCCTTCTGCCCAACCACTTTCGATTGCAAATTCTGATATCCACGGAACAAGAGTTAAGATGCCACTAAGGTTTTGCATGCCCAAAAACCATAACTCTTGCAACTCAATCCATGATTCTTTATAAGTCATAGTCACAACCAACTGACCTAATGCAAATCGTGAATTGTTACTATTCTCATCGACTGTGTACGCATCCCACAAAAATCGAATTGTTGCCTGTATGTAACGGCAAATAGAGAAGTCGTTTTTCTTAATGTAGGCAGTCTTCAATTTCAGCAGCAATAAACCTAAGACAGCCATGTTGCCATACACAACGAGGTTCTCATGATTGTTTTTTAATTCGGGTAGATTATCAAACACAAATTTCATAAGGGTAAAAAACAATGGACTGTTTTTTACATGATCTACTTCTAGTACACAGATATTCATGAATGTATTACATATACTAATAATTGCTCCTCTAGAATCGGCCATCTGTTTTAGACGTTTGGCTGGTATTTCGGGATCTGGTCCTCTGGGTTTACTTCTTTCAGATTTTGGTATTAATGGTTTTTTATAATGTGCAATTGACCAATGAAATGCTAAGCATTCTTGTAATACCTCTTCTTGTTTAATTTTTAATAATACAGCGCGGCCCTTGTCATCCACTGTTATGTGACATAAAGCTGGTAAAAATGCTCTCAATACGTCCACGGAACTCAAAGGATCATATGTTAGTGGCTTATCTTCAGATTTGACATTTTCTGATATGTAACGTGCACGATATGCAAAGAATGATTCATTGGCCATCTGTAAGGCAAATGGCAAGATATTGTTCACGGCAGGTTTCATTGCAGATGTTTCTTGTGTTAACCACGCAGAGAGTGACATGAGCATCAAACATACAAAACACTTCTCTTTGGTTTCTAAGGGTTTCTTAGATACAGACAATGTTTTTAGTACGTTTAATACAGCAGAAAATGCTCCTTTTAGTGCTGTATATGTTTGTTGTTTTTCTTTTTGTTCTAAATCTAAAGTGTCTGCTGATATAAACGCAATTGATATTTCTAGAATTGTGAAACATGAACCAAGTAAATTTTCTGCAACCAATACCTAGAAAAAAACAAAATTAATTAATTCAAATATTTCATTTTTAAATAGTGAGTAAACAGTGTTTAAAATCTATAACAATCTATCAATAAAAATGATATAGGTAGTATAACGAGTATAACGGTATAGTCTATGGATGACGGTTACTATTTAAAAACATTTTAAGCACTTGGAAGATCTAATAAAATGGATTCACAAAATATTATGATAAATTACAGGTCAAGTAAATACTGAACTTAACCTAAGCTTGAGTTTTTTATAATTTTATAAATAAGGCAGGAACTGACAAAAAATGTTGATATAGGTAAGTAACAAGTAAGTAATTATAAATTATTTTATAAGTAATAGAAATGGCAAAACCAAATATTATTTGAGTATGGTTGAAAATGTATTGATAAATTATTATTATTTATAGGTAAGTACCTAGTTAAGATGAACAATTAATGCATACAAAATTATTGGCTACGCTCAATAAATAACGCAAATCAACAAAAATTATTTAACTTATGATTCGCACAGTAAATTAATGTTTCCCTTTAAATTATACTTTATACCTAATCATCAATATTTTTTAAAATAATTGTTGAGAAAAAATAGTATTTTACACTACACTAATACTTCATTGGAATAGATCCAACAAAAAATTTTATGAGATTATAGTGGTTTTATAGTAATTCTAACAAAAAAACACTTCAACTTGTACCTAACACTTTGGAGTTATTTTAAAGAAAATCTTCATCATTTGTTATAGTTAGGCTCATAATTAGGTATGCTATAAAATAGTTAAATATAATTGATTTTGATAAAATAATTCATACTGAGATAGGTACCTGTCATAAATTAGTTGGAGAAAATTTAAATTTATTAAAATATTATTGTACATAAATAAGTAGGTAATGTACCTACCCTGCAATATTTACAAGCATAATATTAAGTAATATTATCATACATTTTAGAAACCAAATTAAATTTTTTTATACTAAAATGTAATAGCTATGAATGCAATTATGTAGGTACCTACCCAACAATTTATAATAAAAATGTGAAAAAAATATATAAAATAAATAGGTAATAACGGGTAGTAGGTACCTGTTCTAATTTTTTATCTTCCAAATGCATACGAATTTCAATCGAAGCCAAATGTATTAACATCAAGAAAAATGCTTTTGGTTTTGCTTCATCTTGTAGTGACCATTCGGCACCAAATGTAGTAAGCATTTGCGATGCTAACTTGATTGCTGGATCTCGTTGTGCTTTAACAAGCTTACTAGTCAATATGTCTCGCAGTCCTAAGAATAATTTTGTTGGCCATATTTCATTATCGCAAGTGTTTTGTACAATTTCTACTGGGCAATTGCCTAATAAAGGTGAAAGTATTGAACATAATTTAAATTTTCGGTCACTGTGATCGGTTTCAAAATCTACTGCTAAGATGTTCATCAGTGTGTTAAAGTTTTCGACATTATTTTCCCAGGAAGGTGGACCAAACTTCTCAACGATGGTGACGAGCAGCGATAATGCTTCGTCTGTCTGAAAACTTTTTTGTGAATACACCTTACACATTTTGCCCACTGTGTCGACATCAAATAGTGCTTTCAAGCCCTGTTCAAACGTGACGATATAATTCAAACACTTGTAAGCTTCATTGACCAGCATGAGGTTGTCCTCGTCCGCTTCGTCTTCGTCTTCGTCACCCTCGCTGAGCACGATGTCTAGGAACACGTCGACGTTCTGCAATATTTCTTGATGCGTGGCCACCTCTTGGACGCTGCACAGCGCCGTGAGTATGCTCATCGCCACAGACTTGTAGACAAACGGCGGACAGCCGGCCGGCACTTCGTCGCTGAGCAACAGACGTTTGATGAACTTGAACTCGATGGCCTCGAACAGGGCGAGTTTGGAGCGAGGGTTGCATTTCTCGGCCTTCACGGTCTTGGTGACCATGAACAGCGCTGCGAACTTCTCCGTGTCCGTCTTAGCGCCTTTTATGACGCCAACGCATTTCTTCACCGAGTCCAGCACTTCGTCGCCCATCTTCTCTCCAAGAGAATGTAATTCAAACAGACGAACGAACGAACAAATCGATATCGCCTAGAAATCGTACTGAATCGAAGGCACTCTGAAACGCACTGCTCGCGCACACACACACACGCGGGAGACGGCGACGATTGTATTGAATTTCCGAAGCGGGACGAGTGTTGTGTGCGGCGCTCCGTTCGGTCGACTTCTATATTTAGAGCTTCGGAAGTTTACCACCGCTCGGCGACGAGCTATGCCACCGGGCCTCGTGCCAGTTGTCGGAGAATATTACATAACGGCTAATAATAATTATAAGACGGCGGCTGTTTCTCTCGGATCCGATCGGCGGGCGGTTTTAGGACGGAACGGGAAAAAAAAAAATTTAACGATAACGAAAGAAAAAAAAAATGTGCTGCGGATCTCACGACGAAATGGCCGGCGGCCAAACGACCGAACACTTGTGAATCGCGCGAGAACTACGGCCGGCACGTGCAACACGCGTCGTTATTATTATCGTCGTCATTACGCGGAACCGTGCGCGTAGACTTGAGCTCCGGCCAACGAAGTTGTTGATCGCCGTCGGTGTCTTGAGCGCCGGGCGTCTTGCAACCGACACCGACCGACCGAACGTTATTATATTTATTTATTATTTTCACGGAAAACGTCTTGGCCGGGACACCATTAGCAGGCCGCCGCCGGAAGTGCACCTCTATCTTTAATAATATTATTAATTATTATGATAATATCGTTATGATGCACGGCGGACACCGGCTTGTGCACGTGCGTCCGTATCGTCCGCAACACAAACGCTGATAACAACGCCGTTATCACTTATCAGCGTGTTATCACCGCTCGGCTGTTATCTCGAGAGCGGCGCGCGGTGGCGGACGTACTGAAGTACCGAACCGAGATCCGACGACGTACCCGACTATATAGGTAAGAACGGTAACGATTTATAATATTGAAATGTGGTACTTACTACTTAGGTATATTATTCTTATCTATAACGTTAGGCCTAACTTCACAGGTGAAACTAGACACTTTTATTAGGGCAGGCTGAATGAAAAACAAAAAAAAAATAGGTACCTGGTACATTCATCGTTCCACTCAGAATCTATAACTTCTATTAACAACTTTATATAGGTAGTAATTTGGTTTAATGTATATATATATTATATAATGAATATTTCTTTACTATTTAATTGTTTAATAATAAATAAAAAATTATAATAATTAATAAATTTATAATAATATGACGAAAATAATATTGAACAAAATTAATTCAGAGTTGAGTCACACACGGTATTTTTGACAGGTTTGTTACCTTAAAAATACCTATAAATTCAACAAACAATTGATAGTTGTTTTAAATAGCATTAAATGATAGCTTGACTTGGACATGGAAGGTATTAAAGTACACGAAATAATGTTAATTACTTACAATGAGAAATTTGAAAAATTATAAATTATATACCTAGCGAATAGCGATGCGACTAACGGGGGTTAATAATAAATAAATTGTTTGGGGATGTACTAGTGCAGTGTTGTAGTGGAGGGTACACGCGGGTACACACCTCCCAAATTTAGATTAATGCGTGTACCCTTAACGAAAATCGTGGTTCGAGGGTACACGGACCATGAACCATATACGTATTAACGTTACCCAATTATACTTAAGTCAATAAAATTTATTTAGGTAATATTATTGGGTAATATAATATATTAAATTACAAACAATAATTCAATAACAAAAAAAAGATAAGCGTAATTTGTTTACTATTGTCATTGTACAATTTAGAAGCGTTCAAGATTACTAATAAAAATATTTAAAAATTCAATGTTCATAAATATTAATGGTCCACCTTTACACAAATGGAATCCTAATTAATACTATGTCGAAAGTTGGTTAACCTCGCATAGAATTCTGATGACAACAAGTCAAGAAAAGTTAATACCTACCACTACAGACCCAAACCAAGACCTAAAATACAAACTATGGGAATTACTTGAATAATATACAAATGTTTAGAAATATTTTATAATAATAAAAAAAAAGTAATAATATGTTTTATGAATTTGTCAATTATATTTTGAGAAAATGTATAGTTTTAAATTTTTTATGAGGTTCTATTGTACATTATATAGACAAATAGATTGATTGAGGCTTGTACCCATGAATTTTTTTAGGACTACATCACTGTACTAGTGTATAATAATAATAATTAATATGGTACCTATATTATATTTTAAATAATAATTAAAATATTTGACTTATCCTCTATCTATATAAAAAAAATATTCTAATTAATAATTACCTCTCCATGATTTTCTATTGTTAAAACTTAAAAGTAAGAATCTTGAGAACGATCGCTGTCGTCGGTCAATGATAAAAATATGAATTTATAATAAAAGAAATAATATGAAAATATTAAAGTACATACGTATAATCGACAATAATTTTCTACGGGGATACCCATCACCACGTAACAAACATTACCGACTGGCGACTTGTTACGTCAAATTAACTTTTACTTGCTATAATATAAAAATAAACGTCAAATGTCTAAATTAAACAATAACTGATCAAACCGCGATTATTCGAGTTCATAGAATAGACTATATTATAATATGACTCCATATTTCCATAATAATTAATGTTAAAAATAAATTGTATTATTATGTTCATTGTGTAGTGTGTACAATTTAATTAAATAAATGTTAACAACCAATGTACGTTTACATGTAAATATATTATTTATAATGCCTAAATAATTATTAAAATATTATATAATATATACACATTTTTTGTCAGTATTAGGTCAAGCCATGGCCTGACTGGCTTGACCCGTAGTTTCGCCTGTGCCTAAATTAAGTTACCTACTTACCTGTATAAACGAAACTGCATACACACTATTATATTTTTTTTCTCGGAGGAGGATTCGTCATATATTTGGCAACACACACCCCTTAGAATTATTGTATGGGCTCGAGTGTTAAAAATTGTTTACTTCTTACAAAACTTATTGATAGGTTTGTGGGTAATGTTATACATTAAATATACTTATATTAGTATATTAGGACATTAGGTATAAGTACTAAGACTTTCTTATTTGAAAATTAGAACTTTAAAAATCATGATGCATTTTTTTAAAATTAATTACAAAATCGGTCCGTAACGACTATTATAATTTACAAGTACCTACCTACCTAGTAATTACTAATAACTAATAAGTAATGTCCGGTAGGCGGTAATGGTATATCTATACCTATATAAATTGTATAGCTGTATAGGTAGGTATAAGGTATAACAATATTGGCGATTGAAAGCTTATCAATTATCAGGCTGGCGGTTGGGGGGGGGGGTGTGGATCTGTAACGGGGAACATGTAAAATAACATATAAATGATACTCAGCGTCGCTGTTGCATATTATCACTTTCAATCGCCAATACCGATCATTGATATTATATATTGTTTTTATGTTTAATATAATACATAGGTATTGACAATTAACAAAATGTCAAAATGTAAAAGTGTCATACTCCATAAAATGAGATTGGTGAGTTACAACTACCGTATTTTAATACGATTGAAGTTCTGCCTTTTAATTTCTCGGGTCTTAAGGGGCCGTTACAGTTACATTTCTTTTCTCCTTCTTACAAGTGCGTAACGTAGCAAATTTTACGCTCAGCAAAACACGTTTATCTTCCATTAGTTTAAAAATTAGAGCTAATTGACCTCTTATAAAATTTAAAGGTAAGATTATTATCTAGACAATTCCGTAGGTGTTTTATTATATTTTAATTTTAAAGCGAGTTAAGAGTATTTTAAGATGTACAAACAGTTTACGATAATTTTAAAATACACATAACTCGTTTTAAAATTAAATTATAATGAAAAGCCTATGTCATTGTCTAGATAATAATCTTACCTTTAAATTGTATAAGAGGTCAATTCGTTCTAATTTTTAAACTAATGGCAGATAAACGTTTTTTGGTGAGCGTAAAATTTGCTATGTTACGCACTTGTAAGACGGAGACAACAAATGTCACTGTAACGTCCCCTTAATAGGTAATATTGTTGCTTATTATTTATTAGTTTATTACCTACCTATCTAAAAATACAGGAATTAAAAATAAATTTAACTGATTTTTAATTTTTCCCGAATATCCCTAGCCCCTAGGTTTGGTCATAGATTCTGCATTCTTATTTTTATAATGCGAAAGAAAATGCGTTACTCTATATAAATTATTTTAATAAGTAATTTAGTTAGTTTAAATAAATGTAGGAATAACAACTGACATCAGCAGAACGCGTTATATTGTATTGTTATTAATTGTTAGCATGTTAGCTAATAGCTTTAATTTTTTTATTTTATTGTGAACTTATTATTATTGTTAAGCATAAAGTTGAGCATATTATTTGTGTTTATACGTTGGTGGTTGGTCTTTTTACGATATTTTTATTTTTATGCAATTTAAAGACCTTTTTTAAATTTTAATATTTTACCTAGGTTCTCATTATTTGCGTACAAATTGTAACAGCCAACGTACAAACGTAGATTATCTATGTTTTGAACTCCAAGTTTAGTAATAGGTCGATAATCACGATTCACCTACCTAGTGAACTCTAATATTAAAGTTAGCAACGCAAGCGATGTTATTCTGTTGAACAGTTGAACACAAAAATTTCCCATGTTACACGTGATTCAGAGAGAAAAAATAAAATAATAGAATCCTATAGTGCGCTGAATCAATAGCTACAATGAATTCAATCATAATTATACATTTTTAATGATGACAGAATATAAAATGTGTTCCGTTGAGAAGTGACCAGCTGACGTCATATGAAAGTATACCCAAAGTGATGAAAAAATACCCTTTAAAGAGTGGTTCTAACTTTTTTATTTTTCAAGTTATGGGTACTTAATTTTTTTTTATCAAAACCAAACATATAACACATTTTTTTATATATCTTCAAAACTATTCAACATTTTCACGTAATTTCTTTTTTTAT